AAAAGGTAATTAATGTCGAATTGTATGTGGTCCGTAAATACAGTGAACCTTTCGGAGTTTTTCTGGATAATATACCATTTTTGCTATAACATATGGTTGAAACTTTGTTAAAGAATAAATATTTTCGCGTTTGTTGTGAATTACGCGTGTGATCAACATAAATCCAAGATGCCTTTTAAATTCGCACTCATATAGACTCGTGCTCAGAAAAAGAAAAAAAAACATTGGCAAAGAGTTTCTTAGAACCCCCCCTTTTTTTTTGTTTTTTTAGGACCCGATGTGGACCGGCTCCATGCTGCTGCACTATCTCCCGAGGGTGTGCTGTTCCCGCGGTGATCTCCCCTGTACACAGCTGGGGCCGGACCCCTCTCCCTACCCCCACCCCTACACTGCACCGACCCAAGTGCACCACGCCGCGCCGGCGGTCGCAGCTCGAGAGCAGGACCAATATTTGAACGGGCCTCATTTGAGCGTGCCATTATGACCGGAGGGGAAACGCTGTATAGTGCAGCGGGGGCCGAGCGGGCGCTGCTGCTGCTGCTCGGGGACCCCTTCAAGGTAGTGGAGGTCATCACCGGCCTGGTGGACGACGTGGGCGACGACGACCGCCGGGCACCCGGTCCGCTCGGCATTGATATGCGAACCCCGGACACGAACACGTGGTCGCCTGGCCGAGCACTGAAGGGCTAAGGACCAGCCTCCTTCTCTTCCTCCTCCTCTTCCTCCTCCTCTTCCTCCCCCTCTTCCTCCCCCCCCCCCCCCCCCCCCCCCCCCCCCCCCCTCCTCCTCCCCCTCCTGCTGCTGCTGCTCGTCTTATGCATGACGTGCTCCGTCAGGATATTGCCAGGGCCGGGGCCCATTAGACCCCCCGGGCACACCGGCCCGGCTGACCACAACCCTGCCCTGCCCCCACCCCCATCCTCGGCACGGGTACATAGTGCCACAGACGGCTGGGGCTCCGTTTACCGTACCCGGTGCCGCTTTTCAAATCCCCCGCTTGTTTGGCCGACCGTGTGGGGGAAGCGCCCGTCCGTCCCGTGCCCTTTCTCCCTTTTGCCCTTCCCCCCAAGAATTGATACTAAGCCGCCGATGCTGAGCCACTTTCTGGCGCGGCTTATGTCAAGACATGACGGCAGCGCGCGCAGCGAGTCACGAGAGATAAGTCCGCTGATGGTCCTCCCGGGAGCGCGTGGCCCCGGCCTCAGTCCCGGCCTCAGCCCCAGCCTCAGCCCCGGCCGCCGCCGGCTGCTCCAACGGGAGCCTGGAGAGTCGGCTGGCTGCCCCCAGCCTCATGCCATCCGCCCTAATCTGCAGACCATGATCCGCCCCTGCGGACCTGCCGACCTGCCCTGACGCCCCCGGCCCGCCCCCGGCCACCGCTCCCCATCGCACCCCGCGCCCCAGACGGTGTTTTAATTTCTCATTTACGGATAAGCCTGAGATAAAGGGAAAGCGCGGCTGTGGCGGCGGCGCCGCCGCAGTTGCGTGAGAAAAAGTGAACACCCCATCATGTGGTGCAGCAGCCGCGAGATTGCGCACGCGAGAGAAAGGCTGGCCTCTTAATTGGTCGCATCCTGCTTTCGTAAGAATTTGAAGACATTGACAGCACCTCACATCTCTTGCATTTTCTTCTGTCTTCTATATTTGCTTGTGTGTCAGGTGCACACGAGCAAGCAATTGTGTGTCGGTATCTGTCTGCCACTTTGTTTCCACTCTTCATTAGGGGATGTTGACGTATGGTTGGCGTACCAGCTTCAGGTGACGTGCTAATACTTGGTCTAAGAAGGTCACTCGGGGCACATTATATGCAGGAGAGAGAGAGCGACAAACACGAGTGAGCAGGCTCACTTGTACCTCCGGAGGCCGCGCGGCGCGCGGGGCCACAGGTCAGCTTGTGCGCTGCACGCGCTCACGTATTAAAGTTGTCGGATAATTTCATAAAAAGTTTATCGTCGGGTTCACGGTTTAATAAGGGCGTGGCTCGGCGCGGCGCGGACTCACCGATGTGCGGATTAGCATGTTGGCAGCCCCGAGCGGATGGAGGAGGGCTGGACGGCGCGCGCCCGCCCCCTCCGTCCCGATGCTGGCGCTCTCTGTTTTATGAGTAATTCTAGTTCCTGTACCTCCCAGCCGCGCCCCCCCAAACGCTCCAAGCGAATTCAACGTCAACACGCGGAGAAAACGACGAGGCGCTTTAAAAAAATTAAATAAAAAGAGATTGAAATTTTTTGTTTGCTTCCTAACAAGAGCCTCGTTTCCGATTTCGCGGCACGCTCTGCGGATCGGTGGCTGGTGGCGGACAGGGTGGGCCAGCCGTGACTCGTGACTCTGTCGGTGCGCCTGACTTCTTCCGCCAGTGATCCCATCGCATTAATGTTAAAATTAGTTTCATGAAACATTTCGCTGGAAACTTGTTGTCGTAACGGTGGGCAAACTGCGATTTCATTCCATCTCTGTCGTGTCAGTGTTTTTCGTGTACTGTACTATTTTGCGCTCTAAAAATTTATCACAATCTCAGCTACTAATTAACCAAGAGGCGTCTTAGCGCGTCGACGTCCTGTTTTATCCTCGGCCTCATACATCACACACCTCGCACCTGCGTCGAGGCGTGTGGGGCGAATAACGGGACGCCAGTTTCACTGGAGGGCGCTGCGTTGGCACAGACTTGGCCCAAGTCAATGCGGCCATCACGCTGAGTGACGGCTTTCTCTGTGCGAGCGGCGCCACTTGCCTTGCCATCTTTGATTATACCGGGGGGGCGCCCGGAGGGAGGTAAACTCTGTGTGACGCGGTTGCTCGCCCGCCCCCGCCCTCCCCCGCCCCCGCCCGCGGCGCCACCACGTCGAGGCACGCCAAGCAAGCCCTGGGTGTCGCGGTGCGTCGCTGCGTCGCACAGGTAATCTGGAAATGGACTCACTCACTCTGCTCTCTCGCCCCACCTGGCGCCCGGGCTGTGCGTGCGTGCCTCTCTACCGACCACCCTGCTCCATGGAATGGGTGGGAGGTCCGATTGCTAAGCACCGCGTTTTGTTTCAGGCGCGTTGTTGTTTCAAGCAACGTATTATTCCTGTCGGCAAAACTGCCTACAACTTTCCATCGTTCATATTAGCTAGGTGGGCGTGGTGGTCGGTTCGAGCGGCTAGTCCTAGTCTGCGCTTGCCAGAGTTTGTTTGTTCGATGTCCTCCACATATCAGAGTAATTTTTTCCTGTTTGTCTGTCTACGCACTCGTTTTGTTCGGCATCCGAGAGCTGGAATTCCCTCACTCTTCTGTGAATTTGCTGCGCAAACAGAAAGCCTCGCAGATATATAGGTTCAGAAACACAAACACAACTTCTGCTTTTGTTTGAAATGTTTTCTAGGCGTTTTAGCTGTAACTGTAAGAATGTCCTGTCCTATGCTACAATTTCCAACATTTTCGGCGTGAGTCTATTAAGGTTTTTAAAATGCACTGTTCTAACGCCAAGCTGTCTTCAAATGAAACTGAGAAAAACATATCTTCGTTAATTTACGATTTTTATTATAATCAACGATTATATTAATTGTTATTGTCTCGGTTATTTTAAATGTAAGACCATTCATACATCTCTGGCGAAGGGTAGTAAGTCAGCGCACTGTATCTGTATTAATACAATAATATTTTAAAAGTTTACTCGTGGAAAATTTTCTCCGTAAAAGCCACAAATATTTTCAAAAGTGCAAGGCGAGCCTGTCTCTTTTTCTTCAGAAATCATAGGAACTCACAGCTCTCTCACTCCCTCACTCAGCCTCAGAGGTGGTCCGCCGTGCCCGTCCTGGCGCTGACCCCTGCCGCCGCAGTGGCCGGCCCACGGCCCCGGCTGCCGTGCTGGTGTGCGCTACTTTGTCCATTAGAAGTGGAGGGAGAGCGGGAGAGGTACCCTCTTTAAAGTTGAATGCAGAGGAGGGGTTGGGGGGGGGGGGGCGTAGTGCGAGCTGTAACGCAATTACGTTGTGATAAAGGGCCCCTGCTGCTGCTGTGGTCTCTCTCTCACTCACTCTTACCCTCCCCATTATCTCGGCTCTCTGTCTCTCCATCCATCCCTTCTCCTCCCTTTCTATATTGACTATGAATGAATGACCTGCTGCTTTCTACTACGCTCGTCATCGGGGTGTGTTAAGCCCAGCCCTAAGAGGCCACCCCACCCCACCCATTGCCACCTGGCACCTCATCCGGCCAGTGAGCAACTCTCGCCACTCAGACCTACTCATAGAGGCACCTCATCCTCCACAGTAACACCACAGGCTCCCTCGCGCAGTCCCCCTCACCCCCTTTCACACATCCTCCTCTTCCGTTCCCCCGTTTTATGCGCCCCCATAAAGTTTGCTTGAAAATATACCTCGACGACGCGTCCCACTGTATTGGACGGGGGTGGGGTGGTGATGGGGGTGCTGGTGGGGGGCACCCACATCTGCGTATACGGCTCAAGTGTCCCACATGCAATGCTGCTGCTGCCGCCTCGGAAATATTATTTTCTTACGGGCAAGAAAGTGGTAAATTTAGGGCGCCCGGCGGGGCAGCAGCAGTAGCAGTAGTATAAGGATGCGGACGTGAGTGCGTATTTCATCCCCCACAAGCACGGCGGCTGGGGGAGTGGGAGGAAGAAAGATGTATGGTGGGAGTCTGCCTCTCTCTCTCTCTCTCTCTGTCTGTCTCTCTCTCTCTCTCTCTCTCTGTCTCTCTCTCTCTCTCTCTCTCTGTCTCTCTCTCTCTCTCTCTCTCTCTCTCTCTCTCTCTCTCTCTCTCTCTTGGCCGGCTCCACTGCCGCCCATTAAATTCACGCCGTGTCGAGCCGAGCGGTACGGCGATAAAAATGGAAGATGGAAATCAACAAGGCGAGCGCACCCGTAGTGCCCGGGTGCTGTGCGCCTGCTGCACGGCGTCCGCACCTTCACGTCGGGCAGCATTGATCGGGGACGACGAGACGGAGATGGAGATTTGTGTGGCTCCCGCCCTCACCGTAGTGTGTTTCCTTGTTGCAGACGACGTGCCTGTCGGAGCTGCCGGACGTGGCCGCCCCCCGCTGCAACGGCCGCCTGCCGCTGTCGCACTCCCACATCCACCTCGGGTACCCGGACTCGGCGTCGTCCTGCTCGAGCAAGGACAGTGCGCCCGAGGCGAGAGGTGAGTCGATTTGGCTTGCGAGTCCGTAACTCTATCCATGACAAGGCATAAAATAACACAGCAATTTTAATTTAACCTAAAAAAAAACATCTAAAAATCGACTAGAATTTTTGATTTTGATGAAATATTTTACATGTGAAAATCATGATTCGATAAATAAAAATATGTGTTGACCGTGCAAGGTTGCGGTCTGAAATGAGTTTTCTGTAAGCATTGCTAGTAAACCTCTTTTTTTTTTTTGTAATCGTGACGTGATACCTTCACCAAGTGCTTCGCGGTGTTGCTTCCTAAACTTATTCATTTGTGTCACGCGGGTTTGTTGTCGGTTCCTGGGCCCACCCTGCAGCTCGGCCTTCCTCCTCGTTTGTTTTTGTGCGAATAATCACATCTATTTAATTCAGGGCCGAAGACGACCCCGCTTGATGAATATATAATTTGAGACGAGGATTTGGGAGAGAAAAGGGGGGGGGGGGGAAGCGGTCGGGGTGAAAAAAAAAATAGGGAAAGGGATCGGAGGGGGTGGCGTTAGTGAAGAATGAATTGGCCTGCCTGCGACCCAGTGCCACACTCTTGCGGGGGAGCGGCCGACGCCCGGCCCGGGCGATAGCGGGTCTGATTGGAGCTGCTGCGCTGGCCTGGTCGGCCACCCCCCGCGCCCCTCCGACCCACCCCCTCGCAACCCGACCGCCTTAGGGAAGGGGCCGGGTGGTTCCTTTTTGTTATGCACCGTGCGTCTGGGGTCCTCTGAAAGCAAGAGGGATTGGGGTGGACAGTGTAGAGCGGTCCCGACCGGGTGCGGCTGCATTGGGGCCTGGCCTGGGTGGGCCGGGAGCTCGCCTGCCGGCGCCAGGCCAGCTATGCCGCCGTACCAAAGGTGCGTCCCCCTACGATAGCCCGGCGCACACATGAAGACCGTCGTACAGAGTTCACGACTTGCTCTGCTGCTATGTCGTCATAACGAAGGAGGGTTTGCGTGTGACTGCGGCTCGGGCCCTTCTACTGCCCGGCACTCACACGCACAACGAGCACGTCCGCGCGGCCCGCTGTTCTCCCCGGCGGCTACGGCCCGGCCCGGCCCGGCCCTCGCACCAAGTGGTTTTCGTTGTTGGCCGAGCACTCGCTTGCAGACAGAAGCCGCGGCCTGATACCTACGCTCGAGTGTGTCCCCACCACCCCACTTTCCACCACTAGTGCACTCCTTCCGGCACGCCCTGCGTCTCATGAAAAATCCACGCGGACGCTGGAAACGTCCGGCTCTATGGGCCGTGTGTGTCCCATTTACCTACGGCGGTCGGCGGGCTGCGGCGCCGAGTGAAACGCGCGCAGGCGAGCTGGACCCGTTCGCGGTCACGGTCACTGAAAAAATTTTTTTTAGGAACCCTCCGACTATTACCTATGCAATTCAGGGTTGAATTGAAAAAACTAAAAGAAAATAATTTTGTAAGCTGCAGCTGCGATCAATTAGGGCAATTTTTGTAACAGAAAGCGTTCCCTTTGTAGCTTACAAAGTATTTGTACAAACAATTCCATACACTCTAAATGTCAAGGACAATTTTTGTAACTAGCACCGGACTTCTGCGTGCATAACTAAATTCAGATACAATATTGTGACTTGCTAGTCACTAAATGTGTGTTGGTAGTAACAATATTGTATCTGAGCTAGTTATGCACACAGAAGTCCGGTGCTAGTTACAAAAATTGTCCTTGGACATTTAGAGTGTAGTGGTTTGTAAGCTGGCAAAGATTTTATTGCGAATTATATTTGTGAAATCCTATCTCTTTCAATGAAAATAGTAAAATTCAAAGAAAATTCTTTGTATGAAAACAACGCAAAATTTGTTCGCAAGGGTTTAACAGTGAATCGCGAAAATCATCGGTACGCCGGAGTAATCTTTCTTCTGCCGCCTGGTGCAGGTCAGGATTGTTGTAACCAACCCTGCCCACTAGAAAAAAATTCTTCCGGCAGCTGCCCTCTTCCGCCCCCACAGCCTGCTGGTGAGCGCTACAGGCCGCAGGCCGCCTGACAGCATGACGAAGGAGAAATCAATACACGCGCAATACTTTTCTCCGGGCAGAAGGAGGAGAAGGCTCGCCGTGTGTTGACGGTCTGCAGGCTAAGGAAATTGTGGCGGGGCGGGGCGAGCCTCAGTCATCGGGTCTGGATCGGTCAATCACTCTCGGGGGACGTCGGCGGCCGACACTCGGTGAAGGAGCGTCCTGTCCAGCCCGTGCGGCCCTGCCTGCCTGCCAGGCCCTTCTCTCTTTTGGAGTGGACCGTTCCCCCCGTCTCCTGCTCACTCCCCCCTGCTCCTCTCCCTGCTGAACCTTCGCGACCGAGCGATTTCCCCCTTTTCCCTCCCCCCTAAGTCCCAAACACTCGCAGCAGCAGCGACGGTCGGCGCCGACGGTCCGTGCAAAGGCAGTTTACATTACTCTGTATTGGATGGCCCCAGGGAGGGGGGCGCGCTGACGTTGCGCCGGCGTCTCTCCGACCTCCGTGATGCACTCTGAGGCAACAGCGGCGGCGGCGGCGGCGGCGGCGGCGGCAGCGCTGCGGCTCCGAGGAAGAAGCCAAGAAGCAGCAGCAGCTGTGCGGTCCCGAGGAAGAGGCCAAGGAGCAGCAGCAGGGGTGGAAGCAGCGGGCGAAAGGAAGCAGGCGCATTCGGCATTCCGGCGGGGCGCGGCGTGCGGCCGGAATTAGGGCGAGGCCGACACTGCAGTGCACAGTGATGAATTAATCCCCTCGGGCCGGGCCGGGCCGCGCTGCGCAAAGCGGCGCCCCTCTAGGAGCTTGTGGCGAAATCGGCAGCCTTGAGAAAGGTATGAAACGCTGCAAAGAGGCCCGATGGCAAGAAAAAAAGAAGAGACTATGCAGCGTTTCGAGGATGCTACTTGAGCCAAAAAGTCGTTGCACGCGTTTTTAACACTTGCTTTGCAGAAAAACGGAAATTTTGCGACTTTTTGATTCTGCCGTGTATGCGAAGTTGCTTTTACCCCCGCCCCCCTCCCTTTCCAAAATGTTTGCAATGAAACTATAAAAATCTGCCATTAATAGAACAACTGCCCGCGATGAAGCTGCATAGTTCAACTAAAGTTTTAGGCTACAGTATTGCCTACTCGGATCCATCCGTCCGGGAAATCCTCTATATTTTGCGTTATCCAAATCCGGACACACTACTTTGCATCTTCTGATCCAAACCGTTCGGGATAGGGTCGAAGGCAGGCGGCCGCGCCACGCGCCGCCCTGGGGGCCCGGGGCCCGGGGCCCGGCCGCCCACAAGGGCCTGCCACAAGGGGCCTAGCTCAGGCTGCGATCAGCACCGACCGGCCGACCGGCGCTGAGGGTGCAGGGGGTCTTATCCCGCAGTGAATCACATTTTCATGGCGCGCTTTGGTCTTTGAGGTCGGCTCGGCTCTGCTCTGGTCCGGCTCGTGTAGCCTTGATGTTCTCCTCCAGGATGGGGTTCCAGCGCACCGCCTCAGTCAGCGACATCTTATTATGTGCCGAGAGTGGTGGTGTGGTGCGACCAGCACCCGCAGCCAGCTTCGCGCCGGGCGAGGGAAGAGTTTCAGAGCACTTGTTATCTCTGTCCCTCTCTCTCTCTCCCTCTATGTCGTCCTATCTCCCTCTATCTCCAGCCCTCTGCCTGAAAGCCAGACGGCTAATGGCCACTACAGATGTCGCCACGAGGACATACTATTGAATGCA